TATACATGGAGGGCGATATCGTACATAAGTATCTACAGATATTCTCCATCATATCATGCATCATTTCTTGAATGTAATATGTGAGGGGTTGGGACAAATATGAAATCCAGATAAAGTGTTTAGATAAACCAAGATTGTCGATGATGTAGAAGTGTACACTTAAAATAAATGTACACGTGGAAGTTCTGTGCACTGGCACATGACTAGATTGCTTCTATTATAATCTTGATATCATTCTTCTAATAAAAGACAGAGCACTCTTGACTATGTGACTGCTCTTAGTAGACAATATGACTAACCCTCGTTATCCTATGAAATAAAATGTCTCTACTTACTGCCCAGATTAATTCATAAAACCCTTTTATCATTTCTGAAAATGTCATACAAAATATTAGCCCCAGGAAGTGATGAAAATTCCTTAAAATTGAATTTTGCTTAACTTTACTATGAATGAAAACAAAAATTTTCAAAGTAAATTATGTTATTCTGTGTGGATTATGAACTGTATTCATCAAGTGTGAATGCAAAACCCAACTCATGGAGTGCTTGCAATAATCATATTTCTGGTATTTTAAGGCAGTTTTAGCTTGTTGGAAAAGTCTTTGTAATTCCCATACAGTTTTCCTACCATGGAAGTCCATTTATTTTCTGTTCACATAGTCAAAATAACAACTAATCACAATTAGACTGCTTAAAATTGTAATCTAAAAAACTGAATTTTATTCATTTGAATATATGTTGAATCATGTCTCCAGATCAGTTAAAACATTTCCTTAATCATACATTCTTGTTACTTCAAGCATCCATTTAACTATATGTAAATCACCAAGTAACATTTAATCAGTTGGTCGGAAAATACAGTTAAATGCCAACCATGAAATCAGACAATGGTACTTTTATATAGAAAGGTAGATAAAAAGAGATAACACTAAAATGTGTTGGCTGATTTTTCACTGAATACCAGTTTTTAATTTACAATCTTACTGCTACAGTAAACTTTGGAGAATTGAGTAAGGGATCCATTGCATAAGAGATGTTTAGACATATACTTTCTGAATCTGCTGGCTCTCCCTCTCATATTAAAAACTCCAAGTTCTCTTATATGAGAAATAAAAAATAATCACAGTGCTTTATCTGTAAAAAACAAAGATCTAAAACAAGGTAACACCTTTCCCACTTGTTTTAGATATTTTCTATCATCATTTTCTTAATAATCCTCAAAATAATCTCTCTGCAATTACTTTGAGAAATTAAAGGGCATCAAGGAAAAATACTGTATAGCCTGTTGGAATTGCAATGATGTAAAATTTGTCTTATTTAATAGATCAATAAATAGTCAAGAGTTTTAGTCTTGCTATTCTCTAGTGTCTGAGGCAGGTATTATTTTCCAACCTTTTTTCTGGGAAGACAACTTTGAATATTTTGACAATTATCTAATAACAAAATAGTTACTATAAGGCACTGATAGAGTTCTTGTTGTGACTGTAAGTACTATCAAAACAACAATCATGTGTATGTACTTATTTATGTATCTTTCTTCAGTGGACATTAATAAAATGTACCCTGAGCCAAACCAAAATGCCACTTAATGCCAATATGTTAAAGTCCTTGTCAATTACCAAATAGAAAATGGCCCATTTTATGTGTTTTGGAGTAGTATACGAAGCATTTCACGTTGAAATATCCTAAAAGTCAAGACTTGTACTCTTCCCCAGTTATCTGACAAAGAAGGGAAGAAATGTTTATTATATACAAAAAGAAAACCGCCAATGACACAATTGCAAAGAGGCCTTCCATTCAACAATACATTATGGACCATAAATGCAAACAACTGTACTTAAACAATAAAATAATAAAAAAATACATTATGAAAATGTATCCATCGGTAGACGAAGATGGATCTCTTTTTTTAAACTAGAATAGTCTGTAAGAGTTTCCACTCACTGAACGTGTACTTTTCCCTTGCACTTTCTCCACCTTTTATCTGGAAGTGCTAAGAAGTCAAGAGTCCTAGATGACAATCCTCTCTAGCCAAGTCTCCATTGGTACATGGCTCATCTCCTTTGGGCATCTCTATGAGCTCTTCTGGCCCATCTTTGGCTCGCTCTCTGGGCATCATTCTCCTCATGTCCTACTTCTCTTTCCTCTTTCTGGCTTCGTGCCTTATCTACCTTATTCTGTTTTTCTTGAGCCTTATTCCTGTTTACATCCTTCACCTGTCTTTTCTTTTCATTGAATAGGAAAGTCATAGAAATAATGTTGATCTAAATACTAATTTCACAATTTAAATCACTCAGGTGTTGGGAATAATTTAAGGTACACATTATCATGGTAGTTTTAACAACATGGTTATGAGAGCCTTTTGCATTAATAAAATTTGGTAATGTTATGTTATCATTAATTAGAATTCTCACAGAAATTGTGGGGTTTTCTTAACTATCTAGAAATTGCAATATAGCTGTGTTTCTAGTTTTTCTCATCTTCATTCATGGATTGCATTCACAGAATATATATCATAAATTTTTACAATTATATACTACAACACATAACACAATTATATAAAATACATGTAATAAATAAAATATGCAATATGAGGCACATGCATCAAACCTCAGATACATTTCTTTCTACATTTGCAATATTTCTCTATAACCTTTATGCATATACAGAAAAGTAATTTCAGCCAAAAAAGTTAGCATTGTAAATGGTGTGATAATGAGTAAATAAAATTTATTGAATTAAAATAACAACCTAAAAACACATCATATAACAAGGCCCCAAAACAGTACAAGAACACCTGCCACTGGATACAGAGTAATTCATCATTTTTCCCTTCAGTAAACAGCTCTAATAAAATTAATTAAAGAAAAGTTTCTATTTATAGAAGCATCAGAATCACACTAAGATACTAATCTACTGCTTTTAAAATGAAAATCATGTCCAAGGATGTGAAAGTTGATTATAAGGTAGAAAGAATTTCCTACAAGTAATAACCCTTTGACTTTAGATGTAACCAAGGTGTTTGTAAGAGAGGGAGAAGAGGGAAAGGGGAGGGGAGGGGGAGGGGTAAAGAGAGATAGGGAGAGAGAGCAGATAGGTCTTCATATCTGCAATTGTTTAAATGCCAGTCTTCCCAATGGCAACAAATGAATCAGATGGCCCTCACGTGAAGTCCCTGATAGCCCTCTGAATGTGTGTGTTAGTCAAATGCTTGGTGGTCACAATAAAATGTCCTTTCTACTCTTACGACATGGACTTACTTATGTTATTGAGGGAGCAGTTATCCTTTGTGTTTTAAGGCCCTCTATCTTCCTTAAGAAAATCTGATCTAATAAACCAGGTTTGGGAGCTCCAGTTATGAATCAGGTGAGAGTTCTCCTATGAACAGGTCTCCGTTTAATTGCAAGAACACAGGAGAACAGCGCTCAAAGGAAAAAGGAAACACAAAAGCTTTCCTTGTAAGTTCCATAGCATTATCTTATCCTAGCTGTCAGCAACAGTTTGCCTGCAAGGTGTCAGCGCACTTCAGCTATAGGAGTAATTTGTATTTTACAAGCAATGTGACAACTGGGGTAGTTGTAGGACCTAAACCCAGAGACCTTATGATTTAGCTGTGTTGTGACAAAGTCTACCTCTAGAGAAATTGTCTGCAAAATGACCAACAGTAGTGCTGGTTTGATCATTTCAACAAAATCCTTTGCCTCCTTTAACCTGGGGATGATGATTTCTTGGTTTGTATGCTAATCACACCTGCCAAATGTGCACTTTGCTAACAGATATTAGCAGACTAGAGGTGGAATAAAGACTAAAATGACTAATTCCTGGGTCGTTAGATATCAAATCATCTTGAATATAGTTTTCTTTCCTTTCATTTCCTAAACTCAGAAACATTGAATACAGTTTGCTTATGCACATGCACAAACAGACATTTGTTCTGTAAGATACTTCTAAGCTGGGACATGAAGGAGGTACACTTACAACCAGAGAAGCTGGCCAGCATCATTTAAGGAATCCTCTCTTTAGGGCAATAGGGTCCTTCCGACTGTTTGCCTGGGGTGAGAGCCAAGTTCTATCCCACAGCCCAACCCGGTCCCAGCACCAGTGTTTCATACCCCACATTGCCCTTTACAGATGACCCAAAAGGGATGATTCCAGGAAAGTGACATCTGTGGCTGTGGGGGTATTTGTGTTGTTGTTATCTGTTTGTTTTAAATAGCATTCATGGATTTTCCTGGAGCTTTGCATAACTGGCATGAGCGCACATTCTCTCTCTCTCTCTCTCTCTCTCTCTCTCTCTCTCTCTCTCTCTCTCTCTCTCTCTCATCTCTTCTCTCTCCTCTGTCTCTTCTCTCTCCCCTCCCTCTGTCCCTGCCTTATTCTCTCTCTCTCTCTCTCTCTCTCACACACACACACACACACACACACCACCACCACCACCACACACTCCAGGCACTGTCACAACAAACACTCAGAATGGGAAACACTCAGAAATCACCCTCTGGGATGGATTCTAGACTTCCGACCCTCTGCATCCCCCAAATGCTGTGTTCTGGATTGGCCAGCTTAGGAGCCTGGTCTACAGCTCAGCCAGCCCTCTGGCCCAGAAAGCCCTTGGTGTCCCTGTTCAGGATAAAACCTCTCCGACCCGTATGGCCACAGAAGAGCAGAAAAGAAAACCAAGTAGAGAAATTAACAACCACGAGCAGCCAAAAAGCCATGCAAGATATGGGCGAAAGGCTGGAAAGTTTCGACAGAGGACCGCAAACTAAAGTTTGTGCGGGACTTTCTTAGACCCAAGCCGTGACACTGAGACGGGCTAGGAGGGACGGACAATTAATGAATGCGTCCCTCTGGTCCTCTTTGAGCCCCAAAGACTACAGCGCGAAGAGTAGAGGCAAGCTAGTCAAGACTCATTCCCTACAGACAAAGTTGCGTGATGGCGATGCGACATGCAGAAAAGCGGAGAAGGGAAAGAGCGAGCCAAGAAACAAGTATCTTACCTGGCATTGGTGCAATCGGTGAACAAAGTTTCAAAGTCCTTCCTGGTGATGAGTTTACAGCGGTTCACCCCGGGCTGGATGGCCCCCAGCCCGCGGAGGATGCGGACCTGCTCGACAGTACACACCACTGGGGATATGTCCAGTCTCTTCAGCTTGGTGTACACTGTGTGCAAGCCCCCCACCAGGTGCTTGAGGAAGAGATCAAAGACTTGCGGCAGGCAGATCAGTTCCTGGCCGTCCATCAGGAACGAGGCCACCTTCACCCCGTGCATGTCGACCATCCTGCACTCGTTGGTGTTGGTGTTGCCGCTGCCTCCACTGCCACTGCCGACCCCGCCGCCCCCGGCGCTGCCGCTGTGGTTGTTGGCCAGGAAACTGTTCATTATATTGGGGGTGAGACGAGGAGGCTCTCCGGGAGTCGAATACACGGGTTCGGCTCGAAATAGGCCCCCTGGGACGCCGGCGCCACTTGAAGTTGCAGAGATCACCGGAGGTGCGGAGACAGCCATGGTCATTCAGTCTCAAATCGCAGGTCCTCGGGCGCTTGCTTTGTCGCCCTGTCTCGTCTAGGTCCCTTGCACTGGCTCCTTCACTCCCCTTCTCTCCCAGGCGCGCAGTCGCTCGCGCAGAACTGTTCCCAAGTCTCCAGGAGCGGGGCTCACGCTCACGCTCAAACTCACCCACCACCACCCAGCAAGCAGTGAGCAGCCCCTACTCGCGGGGACCCGCGACCCCACCCCCGCCACACCCCCTCCCAAGATTGGCAGCACCTCTCAGCCAATAGGCTCCAGCTTCTCGGCTTCCGAGCGCGCCGAGTGGCTGCCGCTCGCCAGAAGGTGGAGACTCCCCGGCCGGCCTCCCAGCTACCTGAGGCCCGGGAGGGTTGGCTGCTGGATGGGGATGGAGCCTTCTAAGGGGGCGGTGTGGTGCTTCGGCTTCTGGGCGAGCAGTCTGAGCAGATGATGCAGTTATCTCGTAGAACTCTCCGAGTAGTCTGGGCTACAAACCCCTCCCCTCCGCGCCTGGCCAGTGTGTCTCTCTCCGCAAGCCCGCGCCACCCTGCCCCCCGAGTTCAACCTAGGAAAGGGAAGTGGAAACTCCATTTCCACTTAATTCCCAAACGCGGAGTTGAGATGGCTTGGCCCACCTTCCAGGAGAAAAACTCCAGTGACTTCAGAAATAATCCGTTCGTCCCTTCTTTCTGGTGTTCCATTCTCCTAGACCCCGTGCACAGAGGAACCAGCATCCAAGATCGCACTAAAATCAGGGTTGCAGGTGGCTAACGCTCCTGCGCACTGGCATTCATTTCGCTCCTTGAGCCTGCGAGCACTTCACACTTGGTTTGTGAGCGACAAAGATGACAAACCCTCATCTTACAGCACTTCTGCCACTGTCCTGCAAGACTGCGCTTTGTGTCACTGTCCCTTAAGTACAGTATTTCTTGATAGGAATTTCCAATTGATAGGAAAAGTTCCTTTATAACGCAAGACAGTCATTACAGAATAGGACAGACGAGCGAGAATTTGCGCTCTTTCATGTTACCTTTTCTTCCCTCCGTCTATGGGCTCTGAAGGTGATTAGAGATCCGTGTCCTGAGCTCAGGATTCCTCTCACTTGTCAAGTGCCTAAACGCTCTACAAGAGCTGATAATAAGCAAAATGTCTAGGTAGGGTACACTTCAGGGAAAAGGCATGGATGGTCTTTTCCACATGCCAAATGGTGGTTAGAGCACTGTAGCCAAGTTGTTTTAAGACTCCTTGTCGAACTTCTTCTGATTCTCTGCAATCACGTTAATTGCTTTCCTGTGCTCCTCTCCTCTGGACGCTGTTATTCAGAAAGTGAAATCCATGCTTCTTTTCCTTACGAGACACTACCAATGATATAGCTTGCCCAATATCCTTCCAGAACATACATAATTTTAGAAAGTTACTAATTTTATTCAGCTCTTCTTGTACTTAGCAGAATTGAAGAGGAGGAGTGGGGGTTCTTTTTTCTCCCTTAATATATAAGTTCAAGACAGAAGTGTTCTAAATTGGGTTTTTCTGCCTCTCTCTTCACCGTGTTTTCTCCTTTTATCATTTCATTAACCAAATAGTAAGAACTACCCTTTGAGTCCCTTCATACTGTTGCAAATTTTAGCTGTGTGGAGACAAATGCTAAGAACTTGTGATGATAGTTGCTTTTGGAATAGAATGGTAAGTGACTAACATAAAAGACTGCAATGCATACAGTCAGACACACACACACACACACACACAACTTTAAAAGGCATTAATGATTTTTGCTAGTTTGATACTACTGAGGGAAGATAATAAGAAGCAGCAAAAAAGGGACAATTGCGAAGACATAACAGACACAAGAAAAGCTTCAACAAAAAGTAGAGGTTTTCAAAACAGAATAGAAAAGCTCTGACAGAAATGTTTGTATTTACCAGTTTTTTAAAAGATAAATCCCAAGTTGTGTTCAACAGGTGTTCTGACAGAAATGACCATTAAGCTGTGTGTTGAACTGACTTACTTCCTTTAAATTATTGTGATTGTAATTTCCAGGTGAATAAGTTTGACTTTAAAGGAAAACATTGTTTCTTTCTCAAAATTACTCTAATTGTATTAAAAAAACAGTATACTGACTGCTGTGCTCACATTATCAAATCCATTTTATTTGCAGAGTGATTTGGAGTCTTCAGGAATATGACAATACGCAGATGTTTTGATGTTTCAAATTTAAGAAAATCTGAAATATAAAAAGGAAAGAGAGAATATTTCCAGCTGCAATGATTATTTGTACTACTAAAAATCAAATGCACCTAACAACTTCAGAAAAGGCTCAAACTAGATGTCTCATCTATTTAATATGATCTACCAGATGTGTAGTGATGTTTTCATTAGTACCAGATATTAAGATTCAAATTCTAGTAGACATACTAGAGACTAAAAATAGCCATTGATTATTGAAGGGTTAAAGCCCAAGCATTCAACACACAAAATGTCACCATTCAGGTTCCCTCACATTTTCAGTCTTTGAGAAAATAAACTTGGTAATTTTCTTAAGGTATACTTATAATTAAAGATTTAGTCTCTTAGATCTAGGAAACAGGTGTTGTCCTCTTGTTGTTGTTGTTGTTGTTGTTGTTGTTGTTTTAATCTTCACCCTAGGACATTTTTTTTCATTGCTTGAGAATAGGAGGGGGGAGAGAGATAGAGATAGAGAGATAGAGAGATGATAGAGATAGAGATAGAGAGAAAGAGAGAGAGAGAGAGATGATAGAGATAGAGAGAGACAGAGATAGAGATGATAGAGAGAGAGAGAGAGAGAGAGAGAGAGAGAGAGAGAGATAGGTAGAGATGTGACAGAGAAACATTAACTGCCTTCTCATACACCCCCTACCGGGGTTTGAAGCTGCAGCCTGGGCAAGTGCCTGCACTGGGAATCAAACCCTCAACCTTTTGGTCTACAGGACAATGCTCTAACTAACCCAGCAATACTGGCCAGGGATCCTTGGGTTTTCTCGATATTTTCATTATGCTATTTCTATTACTGCGATTTCTACTCTTACTATTATGTATGCTGTGAGACTGAGACAATGAAATTACACATGGAGAACTTGTTTATATCCCTTCTAACTTTAATGTCTTCCATAAGCCAAACATATTTCTAAATAAGGCTGGGTTTCTGCAAGACCACAGGAAGTTTAGTGCATCAACACCCTCTAAGTTGGAATTGCATGAAGCAACAAAAAAAAAATAAATAAATAAAGGCTGCACTAAACAGAGTGCCCTTGGGAGATGGCTCTCCATGGGGAGAGACACTGCACTCAAACGTACAAAATACTCAACGTTTGTGAATTATTTCCACATAAGAACAAAGCACCCCCAGCAAATAAGAACAAAATGAGTACAAATGAACAGCATTTCTCATCATACCAAGAAGTTCTATATCCCACTATTCCAGCGAAATGATCTGGGGCCTAAGTGTGATCTTCTGGGATTTAACAAGCAATTAACATATTCCCCTAATTCATACTCAATTTGGAGGGAAAGGGTGCTCATTGGTGACCTTAGGCAAAATATTCCACTGTTTGAGGTACTCTTCTAATGAAAAATAAACAAATACATTGGCAATCTTATGCAGGAGTACCCTTTGAAGAAGCTGGTTTTCAGAATGGGCACTGAAGCAAGAAGAAAACTGCCAAAAAACAGTGACAATTGGATGCTTAAATGAACGGTGAACTTTTACTAACTGAAATATAAAAAAGAAACTCTCAAAACACCTCATAAAGTATAAGCACGTGCCAACTCTTAACGCATTATACCCCAACCCGCACAGTCCTAGGGGACAAGATGCGTGGAATTTAAATTCCATCTATTTCTCTCAATGTATTGTTCCCTTTTCAATCCGAGGCTTCTAACTGTTCAAATTCAAGGCATTCTAACTACAGCTGGCCCCCCACTGCTACTACTTAGTATCCTTTCATTCATTCCCTTGACTCTCCATTGAATTCTCTGCAGCAGCTACTTCCAGCCCTTTTCTACTCTTCGCAAGTCACCCTGCCCCTGCTCTCTACAGTTACTGCCTCTCACTTCTCTGGTTTTACCACAGCTATTCAACAAGAGCGCCCTCAACCTCCCTTCTCTCTTCCGAAAACGTGTTTTCCATATCCTCTTTCATCTTCTTCTACTTCCCTCATTGCTCAGGAAATAAAGTCTCCTCAACTCCCTTCATTGGCGTTCTTGACCCTTCTCACCTCCTCCACGTCAGTAATCTGGCAGTTTTATTCCTCCCTCCCTCTTTGGCATCTCTAATCTCTCCCTCTCTAACTGTTCTTTCCCCTTTTGGTATTGAAAATGTTTGAGGCTAGGAATCCTCAAGGCCAGCAAAATCCTTTCCTCAACCCTAACCACAACTCTCTAAGAATGTTTCCCTTCTTGCCTACACTCTTTTTTTTTTCTTTTCACCTTGCTGCTCTTGACCTTGAAATAATAAAATTCCTAATGTCTATACTCGTAGTAGTGGCAATTTCATCAACTTTCTACAGCTTCAAAAACCACCACTTTGCAGATTACCCCAAATATAATTTCTAACTTTCATAAAACTATCCTGGAGAATTAAGCATTTCCACTCGCATGCTCCATGGCCACCTGAAACTGATCATCTTAGTCCCTTCAGATAACTTCTCTGTTATTTCATCTGTGATTTTTAAATTCTTTTTTCATGCAGGTAGTTATCTGAAATAGAAACTTGGGAGGCACCTTTGATTTCTCTGCATTTATTATACACCCAACCAAGCAGCCACTACATTTTATGAATTCTCTCTCGGCAATATTTCTCATTTTCATTCTTTTCCACTCTCAACATTACCACCACAGTTTTGTGCATTATTTGCTCTTTGTACTGTTTCAGTAATTACTTCTTAAACTCTCTACTTTCAGGTACTTCCTTCTCCAGTCTAGCTAGTATGCCAGGTTAATTTTCTGTCAAGTTTAACTCTACTACTACTCCTTTGGCTAGGAAAGCAATTCCAGACTCTTTAGAGTGACATTTTACTCCTTCTCTGATTTACCTTTCATCCTTTCCTGCAACACTCTGACATGTTGCCTGTGTGCTAGCAAATGGATATTACTTTCCACTACTCCCAAACCTCTGATATCTTCCCATCCTGATGCTA